TAAAGCGATGAGATGCCACTTAGTATTAACCAGGCAGCAACATATCGCTTGTTCCAATGGGGCGTCTGATGCTTGTATTTTGTGGAGTAAGCTGGGCAGAGTACGAGTTCAGAGCCCGATTTAAGTGAGCTTATGTGTGGTTGTTTTGATATTCCTACACTTCGTTTCTTGTTACCTTTCTATCCGTTGTTCGATTTATTACGTGGCTTTATTTAGATTGTTAGATGGCACTGAAAAACAAGTGTACTACCGTGCTATAGGGGTCAGGACCGATGATGATGAATGTGAAGGTACTAATGATGTCGACGGTACTAGAAAGGTGGGCGGGAAAGTTAATGTAGGGCGCATCTGAATGCTACTGGGCTGTTGCTAGTAGTTTTTTACCTTGCTAGTCCGAAACAAATTTTGGTAATAAATTGGAAAACCTAGGGAAGTAGGTTGCCAAAATTCGCAGTGTTTGTTGACCAAACTAGATAAACGAGTTTGACGTCAGCTGGCACAGGTTTTCCTGCTCAAAACATCTATTCATAGGCTTTGCTTGCTATTATTGCCAATCTTATTGATTTTTTTCCAAAAAGGGCATTATGGTTACCCTAAGTGAAGTATCGATGTTGGTTTGGAGAACTGATGTTTTCACATCACTTAGATTTTGTTCTTGATATTGGCTGTGAACATAAGGCGGAATTAATTGCATCGACCACATATGCCTCATGATTAGCGCTCATAAATACTACAAACTATTCAACAATAATCGATGCTACAGAAAAATTTGACACTTCCGCAACCAAGCGAAAGCAATTTATAATGTTGCCTATAATTCTTGAACAACTAAGTGCATCTCGCACCATCGCTATTTCTGCACATATGTTTTTCCACTCCTTTTCTGACTGTGTCGAAATTTATTATCGTAGCTTGTGACTGAACTGTTTGCGTTGAACGTCAGAAACTCGGATTTGGGCTCTGGATTGTGGTTGGGCTGAGCTGTCCTTTTTGATTGAAACAAACTCAGAACAGGATGGGCGTCGGTTCCATTCTAGAGTGGCTGTTTGCATATTCCAAAAGTAATTGGTATTCGAGCTTGCGCTGGCCATAAGAGTTAAGCAAATTTGGCTTGTTTCGTCCTGGTAAACATCCAAAAGAATTTTGGAAGGACGATCTTATTTCGTGGGCTTTTTGCACTCCCATTACACCGTGATATCTGGCTTTTAGCCCAGACCGACATACTTTGTAATAGTCAAGTGAAAATCCGTGGCGGTTTAGTTTGATCAGGCACCTAATTATGTAATTGCATTGCAGTTGAGTATTTACGCTTAATAGAACGCCAGCAGCTAGTCTTTAGCTGGAAATTTTTTATATCAGTCCGGAAAAATCCAAAGTGATAGTGAAACCATGCTTCTGAATGAGGTTTATTCACATAAGAAGTGACTGGAACAGTTAAGCCATGCAGCTCCATTCCGTTAAGTGTATCAAAGGGTTGGACTTAGCAGCACTGTATGGAACAATAAGAGAACAAGGGCGGCTCGAACCTTCTTCCCGCTCGAATCGAACGCACGACAGCTGAAATATTGTCAGACATGGACAGGAGCTAATGGGAATTCCTCATCCGAGTTGGTAATTTGCTCTTTTCTCCAGAATATGTCAAATTGCTCACTCGCTTCGTTACCTTTCTTCCGCCCTTACAGATGACAGGCATCGGGCGGAGACGGCTAAACTCCCCTATACAGTCCAACTAATCCCAACCTCTGGTACACCAGCCAATGTTCAACCAGACAGAGGTACTCCAATATGTACGGTTTCACCTGCGGAAGCTCAACAACAGTCTATGACGGATGTAAGCGACGAGTACACAGGTGGATCCGGCAGCCTGCTTGCTGTGGAAGGTCAAGAGGAAAGTAAGTAATACCTTTGGTTGGTAGTATACTATGTTCCCCACCTGTGCAAGTACTTTGTTTTTTGTGTTATTCTTTATCTTTGATGTTTCGCCCATTTTTTCTCTTATTTAGCTTCAATGGTTCTGTCTGTCAAACTGCTTACACGGAAATCCTAGTTTCCACGATTGGTAGAAATTGTTGAAATGTTGAAGTGCGCACCGATGATTTCCCCTTGTTTTGTGATGAGACGCTTGCAGGTTAGTCAGCGAGCTCGGCGGACAAATAAAAAAAACACCTGGTGAACTACCAATAAACGCACCCGAGCTACCAATATCTCGAAGCATTACTAACGAATTGTTCTGTGGGGAGTAGAGCAAGTGACGTTTCAAGTTTGCGGCTGCCAGAACCGCAAAGATCGTCGCGAGACGAAAGGACTGCTCAAATGATCGATTTAGGTCCATTTGTGCAATGGTGGTGAGGTTGATTTATAGGAACTTAGCAGGCCGGTTGGGGTTACAACTCCCAAGCGGCACCTACAACAAAGCAGCTTAAGTTACGTTCATCTCCGAAAAGCTATGGGTAGAGGATGTGAGGATATAAAGCTTAAAAATTATTAAATAGAACTTAACCCCAGAGCGTAATGGCGTCGGAAAGAACTAAGCTGCTGCGGTTGGGAAATAACTGATCATGTATAAAAATGAAATGAGGCAGTAGAAAAGTCCGTTCCTGTTCTCTCCTGGATTGTATGGTTCACTGAAAGACAACGAACCATAGAATTTTAGGTTTAACCAACAAACTCTAAGCACAACCACCTGATATCTTGTGAGAGGCAGCGAGAACAAAGAGGTTTTTTGATGTTAAAAGTAAATAGTTGTTCACTTTTGAGAACAAATGGTCTTTAGTTTTCACACTTATATTTGGGTTGTCGGCGCTAGTTTACTCGTAGCCATATTAATACTACTGTAATTCGCTTATCCAATTTGAAACGATGATTCTGCTACAAGGCTCTCGAGAACGTCTCCTAAATACTTTTTAAACATTCAGCGTAATAATTATTCATTCAATCTCTAAATTTTGAATAGCTAGTATCTCATTTCCCGAGTAGTGTTTGGCGAAGTGATGGGCTTTAGTGCACCGATGTGTGGTTCTGTATATCCCATATTATCTTTTGACAGAACTAAGGTCTGAGTACTGTTTCAATCCTGGAAGTATATCCGTTATTAGATGAGTATTATGCTGCTTTCAAGCAATATGTTTAGGATAAATGAGCCCTTTTTAAGGATTTCACTACACGCCCTGCTTGTTGTAACGTGTAACAACGGAAATGTACCCATTACCGTGGTTATTATTTGAGGCCAATGGGATATTGTACGCGCATAAAATTTTGCACTCTCTGGTTTAAATTAACCTCCTTACTTTATGCTGGTTTATGTTCGGTTAAACGAGCTCCCCAGCGACCGTCTTTAAGAAGCCCATTTTTGCATTTGAGTACGTAGGTGACCTGCCAGTTTTTTGGTCAACGCAAAGACCCGTAGAACTCCAGTCCGCCTCACAATTCATCGCCATTTGATGCCGATCAAATGACCTTGGTCTGGTTCACGTGTCTTCTGGTTGCCATGGTGTCACAGCATTCAAACTGTGCCAACATCCTTTGCATGGCTCAAACCTAAATATGCGCAATCAAGACGCATACACTGAGACACGGTGTTGAATTTTTTATATTTTTGGCGAGAAACAGAGGGAAATAAATAGGTAGCAGATCTTTTTGATTTCTTTCCTTTCATTTTGGAACCCTGCGATCCTACGTCTTTACGTATGAATGCGCTTGCTATTAATGGTTTGAATAATTAGAAGTTGCTGAAGAAATGCAGAAATCCTCACTGGATGGTCACGGCAACGACCCGTTCAAGTACATGACGTTATATTGATCCCGAAGTTAATGTGTCTTTGTAATGTCTTTTGCAATCTAACAATCATGAGCTAAGTGGATAAACTAAGTCAGCGTTTCGGTTATCAACGTCTCAATGTAAGAAGCACATCGGTTGAGCATGGGTTTCAGGGGTACCTGATTGGTTCTGTGTGCCTTCCATTTACTAGATAACTAGTCACAAAAAACTGTCACTAAGCTGCTTTGTCCCAACGAATTATCAAGCATCCGTCTATAGACCGCTCACGCCTTGTTTTGCATCCAATCAAACGATGGCAAAATGAAAGCTATGACAATAGGTTCATTGGGTTTTGCTGCTCCATCTGAGTCTAAATCACAGGAACTCGATACATTTTACGAAGAAGTGCACTATTTGGTTACCCGATTTTAGTGAAAGATGCTGGTATAATGGCAAATTAATGAATGGATGGTTTCTTCACTTACGGTTCACAAACTCATCGTACATTCTTAGTGTTGCTGGCATATTCATCAGAATGTTTCGTTGACGCATATCCCGTGATCGCCTAACACCATGAAAGTAGCTGTGATGGTTCCAATGTGACCGAAACCAGATTCAACAACGAGAGCAACAATATATCAATGCAGTACATCTGTCCTGTTTTCCACATCAGAAGACTGTGCTATTAAAAAAGTTAGGGGCATTCAATCTCATTAACACGTACGTTGCTTTAGTGAGCTTTAGTGAGCGGAGCGACAAAAGTGGATGATCAATGAGTCTGGATGGATGGTTGCGCCATGCGCATAAGTCCTATTTAACTTGTCATCATAGTCGTGAGTGCAGACAATTTCTAGCCGGAATTAGCTAACACATTCAAACCTCCCATTGTGGAGCCAAACAAAACATTGTTTTTTTGAAAAATGATAATGGAGGATTTGCCTTCACGTGCCACTTTGCAAGCGTTATACATCTCATTGGGTAGATGGCTGTAGCCTCCATCCTCAGAGATAGAGGATCCGGGGTGACGTAACTTGGACATCGAAGAAAACGGATAGAGAGCAAAATCAGCGCTTTACGTACTTCCAGCCACACTAAGATTGGTGTCCATATTGAGGATATCGAAATGAGTGCATATAGGCTGAACAGCTGATTAACTTATCAGCATTTGCAAAAAAAGATTTACTGGGACATAATTATTGGGAGAATTAGCCGGCTTCATTTGAGCCTGCCGCCACAACCAAATTAGTGTGCAATCGAGTTCAGCTTTTGAACATTTGTAAAGTTTTAACAGTTTGCATGTGTACAACCGGCCAGCTACTGGTTGAATTGTCATCAGAATGCTCCTTCACCATCCGTTTGTTCTGCGCTGGCAACGCAACGCATCTAACAGCTGAGATCCTTTGAAGCTTTTATATAAGTAGATATATATCTAGTTAACTTTTGTTGGCTGATTAGGGCAAACACACTGTCAATTATGCAGCGGCCAGAACGAACGCCTGGTTCTGAGAGTGAAGGGAAGTGACATCTGTTTCTAGCTTACCGACATAAGGTGGTGCAATTAAACTCCTGCTTTCAAATCGTTACTCTCGAATACGACAAACGTTCTGTGACTGATACTTTTTTAACTTATACTATCCTCCGTTGAGTACTTGCGATTCGGTTATAAGGCATTAAAAGAACGCGCACCCTTCCTGAGTGTCCTGTCAACCAGAAGCCTTGATGATTTCTTCCAACGAAGCTTCTACTATCAGAGGAGTCGAAAATACGTGAATTTTCGTAGTTTTGTCACGCTGCATGAGTGGCACAACCTTGTTCAATGCTTGGTCTTGAACCATGGCAAAATCATTACGATGGCGTTCTGGAAAGGTTACTGGGGAATTTAACTTTGAACGACTTATATGGCACATTTTCTAGAAAATAACCTCAACAGACATAACAGAAACAGTTGAGCTCAAGCACTTTCTCTCAGTTCTTTTCTTTTCGGATGTCCCTTGCTCAACAACCCTTCCGTAACTATAAAATGTACGTAACTTGCTGCCGACTGTCGTCCGTATTAACTTTAGGTCCCTGCGGCTGATGCTCACCTGTTCTAGGATCACTTGTCAGTTCAAGTCTAGGTGTGGAGACAATTCCTGGTATTCGTATAAAGGAACTTAAGAGTACCGCCGGACGTTGTTGAGCTTGGGCGTTAGTGGTGGATTTCAGGGTTCAGACGGTCTCCCTAGTCGACGCAAGAAATAACCCTTCTGGTCACTTTTCAGAAATTGCTGCAAAGTAGTCAGAGCTATTTTGATGTTTTTGTCGTCTACATTTCAAACGCCAAACTACGTGCATAGTAGAAAATGTGCTCGATCTATCCTACTAACTTGTGTTGTTCGCTTCATTTCTCAGATAGCCGGCTGCGTGTTAGATAACGTTTATCCTGTCTACCACACACATCCAATCCCATCCCAAGTCTGACATATTGTAATTGACTAGGCTTTATTGCATCCAACCTCATATGTGATTAGTACCAGCTAAGAGATAAAGAACCAAAAACTCCGTGTCAAATCATCTGATTTGGGACTATTTGCAACATTCCTTAATGGTCGCCCTTTTACAGTCCTACTGGTGTACTTAACGGAAGACTTTACTTGTGCAGGACGCTGACTAATCGCTGATACAGAATGTCCGAGGTTCTTTACTTCATCGCCTTTTCCAAGTAAAGTTGGCATCCTCTCCACCACCCGTACACGAGTAGCAAACGCTCATACCTAATTGCCGTGGGAATACCACAGTAAAGTGCGGGACGAGACGAAACTAGAGTGGACGCAGTGAAGAATAGACATCTGACCCAAAGGACAATGATCAGACACTGATGAAATAAACACAGCCGAGCACCATGTCAGAATAATACGCTTACCAATATTTTTTGTGAACCTTACCCAACACGAGACCAGTGCACAATGATGGACGGACTCCCGCTGGATAGTTTGGCTAGGAAGTAACAATGTGCTCACTATCCTAGCCGGCTACATGTCACACCATCTAGGTTTGAGTCAGTCCAGTCTGTACGACCCTAATATTTCGTATCATCCAGTCTGACCACATAACTGTTTTGTGGAAACTTTCTTCGAGCACATTAATGATACAAGT